GTACCAACTTTATTACACAGCCTATATGCAACAAGTGGTGTAAGGGGGGGAATGGACTAACAAGCAAGTGTGATGGGCAGAGAGTAGGCCTCCTTGGTACTAAAACCTTTTGTCACCTCTTTCTTGCTCTGCCCCAAGTCCTAGAATAGTGGTTCTCAACCTGTGGGTCCCCAGATGTTTTAGCCTTCAACTCCTAGAAATCCTAACAGCTGGTAAACTAGTTGGGATTTCTGGGAGTTGTAGGCCAAAAAACTTGGGGACCCACAGGTTGAGAACCACTGTCCTAGAAACTGATCTTGAAGAAGGGAAGAAAGCAGGTAATGCAGAGGTGAGAACCTCCAAGGCCTCAAAAGTGTGTAATTTCTAGCAGGAGTTGGCCTTATCGCTAAAAGTCCCAAATTCCACAGCAAGTAAGGGTGTTGTAGTGTTCCTAAAAGTACCTGCCAACACACCCAGCCCTCTTCTGCCCCAAGGAGAATGTTTGGGCATTGTAACTATGAAAGAGAAACCAGAAACGCCAGTCAACACTGTGAACTCCCTTGAGTTTCTTGAAGTCTTCCATTGAGAAATTCACAAAGGCATGATCTCATTTCAAAAAGAGCAGAGAAATACTGGGGTATCCATAGAGGGCTGCTACATGCCCTTCTAGACCCCAGACTAGGAACTGGAGAATGGTGATTGTGGCTGAGCATGCAGAGGTTAGCTGACTTGCGACACACAGAACTCAAGGATTCATGATCCAAGTATGGTGCTACAGGCTCGTGATCTCCAGTCCTTTCTCTTTGTTACAACAGTGAAACTTTTATTTATTATTATTTCAGGATAAAACCAAGGCGTGTGGTTGTTTATGAATGCTCTCTCTATTAGACTTTCTTCCTTGAATGCTCTGTTGACAGCTCTCTTTCCCCTGCCCCCATTTCTGGCATCCATTAACACTGACAACAGCAACTTTAAGCACTCTCAATGCAAGCATACACAAAGCAAAGAGACTAATAGAACAAGGAGCCTCCCTGGATAAATGGATTTTTCCAATAAGAGTTATTTGGTTTTGCCAAGCTTGGGCCCACCGCCAAAAGTCGAGTGCTCTCCCCCACGGCACACTCACTCGTGCTTTCTCAATCTCTCCACTGATCAGCACTATTTGTATTAAGTTACAAGGCTGACATAACTTATCTCTGCACACAGACGGTACTTTTTGTGTCTATGACTTAATAATAATTCTTGTGCGTTTTTTCCCCCATTTAACAGCATGCATAAGGGTACAACAGAAGCCTCTGAAACTTGCTACTTCCTTGAAAGGATCTGAATGCCAAGAAAACATTCAGGAAATCCACAGGACACCTAAACAGGATTACAATCAAGATTATTTTGGTACAGCATTTTTGGAAGGACAATCAGAAAAAGGAAATATCTGATTAGAATATTATTTTTAGTATCATTGAATAATTATTAGAACTTTTTAAAGCTCAAGTCTAAGCTTTTGATACAATGCAACAGTTGATGGGTCTTGTAAAGTCATGGTAGATGTGTTGGCCCTAGAGAAAATGGTTCATAAAGTCTCCTTAACTCTTCCACGGCCCCAAGGGCGCTGTCACGTCAGAAAGCCATGCAAAATCTGTAATTGCTTTCCTTGTAGCCCTGTTAAGGTATCAACAGGCAAATATCCACCAGCACCATGTGGCTCATGAGATACACATGCAGTCAGACCTTATTAGACTTATCCTCCAAGATCAAAGCATATTCACATAAATGGGGTGCAGCCTTCCGTGGAGGGCAGCCAGGGGGGCTGTCATAGATCTGCAGCAAGAAACTTCTTGAAAACTGTGGGTGATGATGTGATTGTTCTCCTGTGGCTGGAGGAACACTCCATGTGACTGATGATGAGAAATGAAATGAAGCAAGAGGAAAAGGCAGCTGGAAAAGCAAAGCAGCCGTAGGAGCAAAAAGCAGGGTCAAGCCTCCATCCAAAGAGAGCATTTAATCCTTCACAATCTTTAATTAAGGCTCCACCGGCTTGGCTGTAAAGCCCCCACCCCCACCCCAATGAAAAGTCTGCTAATGGAACTGTGGGGAGGGGACATTTTCTCATATTTTCTTCAGAGCTAAGAAATTATTTAAGAGGAAACATATGGGCCCATCATCCAAACATGGGTGCTTAACAATTATGCCTCCACCTGTACTACTTCCTTGTATTCAGATGTTTACTATATGTTGGCACTCTCCTTGGAAGCCAGACAGCAAACACTTTGAGTCTGAACTACATCTTTACGTGTACTTCGGGGTGGCTTTCCAGAGATTATTTATTTACTACTCTTATATACCGCCGTTTCTCAGCCTACAATGGCGACTCAACGCGGTTTTTTTTATGTTCCAAAATGGCAGAGCAACAAAGATCATAGCTTTCAAAGAAAGTCCACACTAGTTCAATCGTTACATCACATATTCAGACAAGCATCTCAAGCTCTGAGAATTACCTAGGAAGGAATCCCACTGGAGCATTGCAGCATACCAAAATACATAGGAACCACTCTATACCATGCTCTGACATACAAGAGGCACTGCTTGAATAACAAGCAAAAGTGGGTGCTAGAAATAATATCATATGAAAGCTGCCTGGCACAACCTGGGGATCACAACCAGACATAGTGAAGACATCTGCCCTTGTGCTTTGCTACTCTCCTGCTGAAAATACATGCTCAGTGTGGAATACATTGCACTACGTTAAAACAGTGGATGTGGCTCTTAATAAGGCATGCCGCATTATCACAGGATGACCACACTCACACCACTGGAGAAATTATACTGTTTTGCTGGTATTGCACCATCAGACATCAATCGGGAAGTAGCAGCCAATAATGAAAGGACCAAGGCAGTGACATCTCCGGCCCATCCTCTGTTCAAATATCAGCCAGTATGCCAATGGCTTAAATCAAGAAACAGCTTACTAAGATACTTGCAGGAACACCTCAGCAAGCAAGGGTCCAAAAGTGGCAGCCTAAAATCTAGCACCTCAGTCAGTGGCAGAGATTGGATGAGAAACACCCTCTTGGGCACACAGAAGATGGGGCGACGTGGAAGGCACTGAATAGGCTGCACTCTGGCTCCATGAGGTGCAGAGCTAACCTTAAGAAATGTGGCTACAAAGTGGAGTCCACGGCATGTGAGTGCAAAAGAGAGCAAATCACAGACCACCTACTACAATGCAGTCTGAGCCCTGCTACATGCACAATGGAGGACCTTCTCACAGTGACACCAGAGGCACTCCAAGTGGCCAGTTTCCGGTCAAATGACATTTAGCATAATGCCACGTTTTTTTAAAAAAATGTGTTTTAAAATGCATTGTAACTGTACCCTCAACTCGCTTTTGACACGATAAATAAATAAAATCACATATTCACATAAACACAGTCATACATACACAGTAACAAAATCTTCTGATTCTAGCATGAGGCAAGGAAGGGTTTATGTTTGGGTTTGACCAAGGGCCATCAAAAGAATATAGAGTACAGTAAGAGGCGTAAAGAGAGAGAGAGGAAATGTTGATGTATTTACAAGCACACCACCCACTAAAAGCACAGACTGGGTACAATTAAAGTAAGAAGGGCAGGGGTTCAAAGACAAACTCCACAATTTCACCATAATTGATTATGGCTGTCAATTGTTCTCCTCCAGGTCCACAAATCTTGGATTCAGAAAGATAAGGTATATTGCAGGCAGCTGCTCTAAGATGGCTCATACCTAAGCCTCTGGCTCCATCACCAGACCCAATCTATACATCCGCTGAAAAGGCGTGTTTGGTAGCTAGCATCTCGCCCAGACAACCAAAGCCAGACACAACCACAGTGCCGCCCCTTTGCTTTCATGCCTGGAAGTGAGGAGACTTCCAGGGAGGAAGAAAGTGAGGTGGTCAGATTCAGGCACCTGGAAGGGGGTAGGGCAACACATGGGGCGGCTGGCAAACAACCAAGCCCACGCTTGGCTGTCTCAAAAGTGAGCCAAGAGCACACGGTTTCCCGGGAGAAAGCAAAAAATAAAGGGGTTTCTAGGATCTCACAACCTCTGAGGATGCCTGCCATAGATGCAGGTGAAAACATCAAGAGAGAATGCTTCTGGAACATGGCCAAACAGCCCGGAAAACTCACAACAAACCGATGATTCCAGCCATGAAAGCCTTTGACAACACAAGGTTTCTAGGGGACCTTCCACACAGCCCTATATCCTAGAATATCAAGGAAGGAAACCCCACATTATCTGAGTGTGGACTGAGGGCCCTTCCACACAGCCCTATATCCCAGGATATCAAGAAAATCCCACAATATCTGTTTTGAACTGGGTTACCTGAATCCACACTCAGATAATGTGGGATCTCCGCCTTGATATTCTGGGATAGAGGGCTGTGTGGAAGGGCCCCAGATAACCCAGTCCAAAGCAGATATTGTGGGATTTTCTGCCATAATATTCTGGGATAGAAGGCTGTGTTGATGGGCTCTCAGATAACCCAGTCCAAAGCAGATATTGTGGGGTTTTCTGCCTTGATATTCTGGGATAGAGGGCCTGTGTGGAAGGGCCCTAGGATGACCCAACAGCCAGGCAGCCAGTCCAAGGCATCGGCGCAAGTGTGTGCAATAGATACACACCCACCCACCCAGAGAGAACGATAAACACCGTGAGATCCACACAGACAGAGAGAAGAGCAAGGAAGGAGGAGAAGAGGCAGAGCAGCATCCTTCTGCCTCGCCTTGTGCCACTGACTGACAGCCCACACGTTGCCCCCCTTCTTCCTCCTCCTCCTCCTCCTCCATTCCTGATTCGCGAAAGCAATCCCAAACCAAAAGCACACCAAAAAAAAAGGCATCCTCGTTTTCCTGGGAGGCGGAGGAAGGTGGGCTGGGTGGGCTTTGCATGTGGACAATAAGGACCCGGTGGAGGCTGGGGGTCCCTGGCCTCTTCCTCGCTTGCCCCCCAAACAAAGGCCTCCCCCGCCCCTGCCTCCTGGTTACCTGTCCGGAAAAAGGCGTCCACCTCCGAGTCGGGCACGGCCCCTTCCTCCGCGGAGCCCTCGGCGGCCGGGTTCATGGCTGGGGGGCTCCGGAGGGAGCAAGGAGGGCGCTCAGCAGCCAAGGCGGAGGAGAAGGCGGCGGAGGAGGAGGAGGAAGCCGCGACAGCAACGGAGGCGGCGGCGAGGGCTGGGTGGGTAGTAGTAATAATATCCAGCGAGTTGGGGAGGAGGGAGGAGGAGAGACACACGCCACAAGCAGGCAAGGAGGGCGTGTGTGGGGGGAAGAGGAGAGGAAGGAGGAGAGGAAGGAGGGAGGGAGGGAAAGAGGGATGGAAGAGCCCTCAGCAGCCAGCCTTGGCGTGCCCCATCCTTGCCAGGCTGTCTCTCGCCGCTGACAGCCCTGGGGAAGGGGGACTGTCTGCTTCTTCTTCTTCGCCGCCTTCTTCCTCTTCTTCTCCCCCAAAGGCGTCTGCACATCCACACCCCACGCAGCAGCCAGCAGCAGGGGCTCCCTCCGTGCCCAGCCCTCTTCTCTCTCTCTGTCTCTCTCTCTATTGTTCAGCGCGGCTTTCTCTCCTTTCTGCCTCACGCCCCCTCCCCAGATTTCGCCGGCGGATCTCCCCCAATCTGCACACACAGGCACGGCTTGTTTATTTCGCGTGTGAGCCCGTCCCCGCCCCCCAACACACACACACACACACACACACAATCACAGCCGGCTCAAGGAGCGTACACGCCCCCAAACCCCTTTGGAGGAAGGCAAGAGGAGAGACAGAGAGAGGTGACAGGTCGGGGAGCTCCACAAATATATAAACCCCATGTTCCTAGTTTCCAGCAGACCTCACAACCTCAGAGGATGCTTGCCACAGTTGCAGGCGAAACGTCAGGAGAGAATGCTTCTAGAACATGGCGAGACAGCTCGGAAAACCTACAACAACCCAGTGATTCCGGCCACGAAAGCCTTCGACAATACAATTATGGAAGAGCCCCTTTTATCCTCATCAGCAGCCCCCCCCCCCCCCCCCATTGTTGCTTTGGCAGGACTTCCTGGAAAGCAGCAGGAAAGGAAGAGGAAGAGGAGGAGGGCATGGGGGTTGTGTGGCCGGAGAGGGGGGGGGTCGCCCTGCTCTCAGACCCTAGAGAGGGGCTGCCCATCTGGCTGGCTGGAAGCCACCTTCTCTTCCAAAGAGGGGAGCCAGCCCTTCAGTCGCCCTCCCCTTCAAGACCCTTCTCTTCCCACCCTCCTCTTGTCCTTAGGCTTCGAGGATTCACCACCCCCCTTGCCCTCTCTCAGGACAGATCAACATCGTGCCTTAGGAAAGCGGAAAGGCAAGCAAAGGGCTGAACGGGTAAGGTTCAGGTGTAAGAGGGAAACCCCACGCGGGAGGAGGGATAGCCAGGGCAAGGCAGGACCGGCTCCTGTTGAATTTCACAGCCATAGAAGAAGAGGAGGAGGAGGAGGAGGAGAAAGAGAGGCCGGCTCGGCAGACGTCACTTGGGTAATGGTTGCAGACTGGCGTACCTCAGCCGGCTCCCAAACAGCAATAAAGGGACTTGTCAGTGTCCAGAACCAGAGTGCAAGTTCCATTTTTGAAGATGCCTCCCCGCCCGCCCCCCAAGAAAAAAACCCACCCTTTTCTGCCAGAGAAGAAAAAAGCAGGAAACGGAGAGGGGATTGAGGGGAAAAAACAGGTTTCCAAATGATTTTCCCTTTCCCATTTCACAGATTTACAGCTCAAAATCCATAGAAAGATAGATTGTCGGAGGCTTTCATGGTAGGAATAACTGGGTTGTTGTGAGTTTTCTGGGCTAAACACTAATCAAGGTGGCCAATAGAAACATTCACACCTACCTCAAACTGACAAGAGTTCTTTCTCCCATCCTGGACATCATTCCACAGGTATATAAACCACACTTGCCTGGTTTCCAACAGACCTCACAACCTCTGAGGATGCCTACCATAGATACAGGCAAAACATCAGGAGAGAATCCTTCTGGAACATGGCCATACAGCCCGGAAAATATACCCTATGTAGAAAGAGCTGTTTCTGGTGTCACTGTTCTGTATTCTTGTGCCATTTTCTGTTTGCTGAAAATCATTCACACTGCCAAATTTTGGGAGCCATGTGCAGGTTTGCAACTAAGGGTGTAATAATGGGTGTGTGTGTGTGTGTGAAGGCCAAATAAGCATTACTTCATATATACCCCGCCTTTCTCCCTGTATCAGGACTCAAGCCACCTTCTGCTCTCCTATGATTTTTTTTTCATTCACTAAATGTTTAGCATGGTAGAGAATGAGACATTGAAAATAACCTAAATCATAGAATCATAGAGTTGGAAGACACCTCATGGGCCATCCAGTCCAACCCCCTGCCAAGAAGCAGGAAAATTGTATTCAAAGCACCCCCAACAGATGGCCATCCAGCCTGTTTAAAATGTTTTCAAATAAGGAGCCTCTATGGCAGAGAGTTCCACTGCTGAACAGCTCTCACAGTCAGGAAGTTCTTCCTAATGTTCAGGTGGAATCTCCTTTCTTGTGTTTTGAAGCCATTGTTCCACATCCTACTCTCCAGGGCAGCAAAGTTTGCTCCCTCCTCCCTATGACTTCCCCTCACATCTTGACACATGGTCCTCATCATGTCTTCTCTCCGCCTTCTCTACTGCAGGCTAAACATGTCCAACTCTTGAAGCCACTCCTCATAGGGTTTGTTCTCCAGGCCCTTCATCATTTTTGTCGTTGTCCTCTGGACACATTCCAGCTTGTCAAGATCTTCCTTCAATTGGGGTGCCCAGAATAGGACACAGTGTGATTATAGGTGTGGTCTGACAGGATATAATAGAGGAGTAGCATGACTTCCCTGGATCTGGAATCTATACTCTTATTGACGCAGGTCAAAATCCCATTGGCTTTTTTGGCCGCTGCATCACATTGTTGGCTCATGCTTAACTTGTTGTCCACAAGGACTCCAAGATCTTTTTCTCATGTACTACTATCGATCCAGGCGTCCCATTCTGTATCTCTGCATTTCATTTTTTCTGCCTAAGTGGAATATCTTGCATTTGTCCCTGTTGAATTTCATTTTGTTAGTTTTGGCCCATCTCTGTTAAGATCATTTTGAATTCTGATCTTGTCTTCTGGAGTATTGGCTCTCCCTCCCAATTTGGTGTCATCTGCAAACTTGATCCTAATAAAGATGTGCACAGGATCAGGCCCTGCTTATGGCACTCCACTCATCACTTCTTTCCAGGATGAAGAGGAAGCATTGGTGAGCACCCTCTGGGTTTGTTCGCTTAACCAATTACAGATCCACCTAACCGTAGTTTTGCCTAGCCCACATTGGACTAGTTTGTTTGCCAGAATGTCATGGGGGCCCTTGTCAAAGGAAGGCCTTCCTGAAATCCAGATATGCTACATCCACAGTATTCCCTGCAACTACCCAGCTTGTACCTCTATCGAAAAAAAGAGATCAGATTAGTCTGGTATGACTTGTTTTTGGCAAATCCTGATATGTGTGTGTTTGTATTCCCTTGGAACCTTTGACTACCTTTTGTCTTTGAATGCCTAAAGTGTATTTCTAAATGCTCAACTGAACTTTTAAGACCCTAACCTCATTTAACCCACCCATTCCTCAATAGCTACATCCCGGTTTCACCCTGATAAGGAAGGCACTTGGAAGATGACCTCAGCAGAAGGTCTTAAGACACATTTTTTCTACATTCCCATTCTAGATCAATTAACTTGGTTTCTTTCTTTAAAAGGGCTCTGAAGGTTATGCCTTTAAGCTTCAGGAGGAGCTTGAAAATTGCGGTTCAACAAGGCCAGACATTTGTGCATTTGAAAGGGTCAGCCTTTCCTTCCAAAGAAGCAGAAACATATAGACAGTACCTGGAATTACTTCTTTGTTCAATTTACATTCCACCCGTCTTCATAAAAGCTCAGAGTGGCTAACTGTGTACAATAAAAAACCACAGAAAGAGAGAGGGGGAGTTAAAATCACAAACTACAAATGCCAAAAACAGTGGCTTACAAATGTCTACTGAAATACAGCAAAAGCAATTGTTGAATGGTATTTGCCTTGATTGTTGTGCGTAGGTGCACCCATGTGGCTATTCTAAGATATGTTAGCTAGCGATGTGAAGCTAAAGTGCCCATGCTCGCCACACTCTTTTTATCTTTCTTTCAGGCCCTTTTCGCACAGCACCTTTATGCTGCATTCTTCCTTTTGAAATCTGCTCCAGCCTATCTTGTGATGATAGCTGCCATTCTCTATCATACCCTTGTCACAGTGGTGTTTAAAAAACACCATTTGCATTTTTTTAAAATATTCATTAATGGTATAATTACTGACTCCTGTACCCCATCCCTCACATTATTGTTGATTCATCTAATTAAAAAAATCTAGTTGTATCTGCACAGTAATCAAATATCACATCAAGACTGTATTACTGCATTACAAAGCTTTCTGTAACTGCTGAGATCTTTTATTGGATGATTTGTTTTGTTAGAGAAGTGACACAAGAAAATAAAATGGACATGTCATCCCTTGCCATGTTATTCTTTTCTCCTGCAGAGAAAAAAAGAGACTACTGTGGTTTTAACTTTGTGATTGTATAGCAATAGTAATAGCGTTCATTACAGTCAACAGACCTTTAGGAAAAGGTGTTTTGTGTGTGTGTGTCAGGAGCAACTTCAGAAACTGCAAGTCGGTTCTGGTGTGAGAGAATTGGCTGTCTGCAAGGATGTTGTTCAGGGGACACCCAGATGTTTTAATGTTTTACCATCCTTGTGGGAGGCTTCTCTCATGTCCCCGTATGGGAGCTGGAGTTGACAGAAGGAGCTCATCCGCAATTTGAACCTCCAACCTCCTATAGACAAAGGTAACTACAAACCAACAGCATGGTGTGATAATATCCTCAACACTGAGAAAGTATTTCCTTGTGGAGGAGAGATCTCAGTCCTTGGTTATTTTTGCTTGTTGTTGTTGTTC